ATAAAAATGTTTCTCTAAATCAGAAAATTGTGCCCCTATTTTTTGACAAAATAACGCCAAGTACATTCGATTCGGGATTAAAATGTCTTAAATAATAATGCTTAAAAGTATTGTTAGTAATTAATGTTGATTAAGTATTTGTCTAAATCCCCTCGTTTTCGATCTACCATCAGCTCCATGCTTCCTTGCTTAGTTATACTTTAAATCAATAAGGGAATTAACCAATCCTTCAACCTAAAAGTAACGCTCGACCAGATAAATTTAGAGCTTAAATGAAGTGAGTTCTCCTGGTTTCGTGATTTCTGTTTCCACTGCCTCTTCTACGTGTTCCCCTTTATAAGCCTCACTACTAATATATGTTTGAATATGGAGTGTGCGATAGACTTACCTCCACTTGGTGCACCCTGGGCAACGTACTCTCATACGGCAAAAAAGTCTATTAACCGGCAGTTGACTTCGGACTTCAAATTGCAATGGCCCTACTGTATGTCATATTCGACCCCTTCTACAGTACTTACCTTACCTTTTCTATGCTTTTGTGTCTGTTTGTCTCTTTTACATCTGTGAATCGCTTTTCTGTTCCCCACCCATCGCCTTTTCTGTGAAGCCCGAAGTCAACTAAAGGGCTAATGATAACTATCAAAACGCCTGCCATTTGAAATAAATAAATAAATGTTTGAATATATTCCCTTGATGAAAGGTTGAAAAAGCTTTTGTATCAAATATACAAATAAATTAAGTCAACGATAACTTGAAAGTTGATGTTGTTTAAAAATTTAATGAATGATTAAGATAAACAAAAACTGATTAGTCAGGAATTTGTCAAGATCTCAACTTCATATGTCACTGAAATCGGGAGGATGAAGGAGAGGGGAGGCGTGGAATAACGTCCGACGTATGAGAACTGGTCAACAGTTTAAAAATTTGAAAGTTTATCAAATATGAAAGAAAACCTAAATTTACGCTTGATATTCGATTGTCACAAAGGGGCACGTTTGCATGCTACTGAATTAGAAGCTCATCGAATTCCTTGCTTATAAGATAGGTACATTTATATCCACGCGGCCATCGCACATTCCGACATGTCATCGATAAGTTGATAAGACATTCGACTGGCCGTATAAGTTCCGAATTCATAAAAGCAAGAAACCGTACTTTGCAAGTGAAAATAATGCCATCCTTTTCATGAGTAGAGCATTTTACATTGACCATGTCCATTAGGAAACACAATAAATGTGAAAATGATGAGAATAGCCAATCAACGCGTGGTGGTAAGAAAGGCTCTAAATTTCAGTAATATTTAAACAAGAACACTAATCTCACATCCTGTTTAGTAAGTACAACACATTTACAAATTTGATTTACTAACTCTGTACATAATTATTAACTACACCAATTCTGCATTCAGGATAATGGATCATTGATATGGGAGATCATTTTCAACAACCGATATATTGCACAGGCATTATTTTAGATATTCTAGATGCCCACAGATTTATTTTGCAAGGCTGGGATGCGCGATAGACTCACCTCCACGTGGTACACACTGGGCAACGTAAACTCATACAGCAAAAAGTCTATTAACCGGCAGTTGACTTCTGACTTCAAACTACCATGACCCCACTGTATGTCATATTCCACCACTTCCACGGTACTCACCTTACAACTTCCCTACCTTTGTGTCTGTCTGTCTGTCTCTTTTACATCTGTGAATCACTCTTCTGTTCCCCTCCCCAACATTTTATGGCTTTGCCTGTTCCTCCCCACTGTGAAGCCCAAAGTCAAGTAAAAGACAAATGATAACTACCATAGAGACTTTCATTTGATATAAATAAATTTTATAAAGCTTTATTTCAGTGAAAAATAAACTAGTTGTACTTTAATCGCCTCCCACTTTTTCATCAATTGTTTGTTATTTTTCGTTAAAGGAGATGACAATATGATATGTCTGTCAAAGTCATACCAATCAAAGTTTGAACACGCTAACGGTTTAACAGTTGTTAGTAGTCTTTTCACTATAGGGGAACTATTGAGGACTAACCTTCAACTGTTACGAATTGGGGGAGATATTTCGATGTTGAGGAGTTCAACTTATTGAGAATATTCGAGAAGTTGGGTTTGAAGAGAACATTCAATGTGATATCTTTTCGTAGCCTTGTGGTCTCATCTGGACTTTGAGCACTCCATTTGGCTTGAGCGCCAACTCTTTCAGTCTCCAGAGTGGAGCATTCAATTCGGCACTGGTGATGATGTGCCTGAACGAGCAAAGAAATTTGACTTCTAGAAACCAGTCGAGCTCGAAGTAGCGGAAGTACCTTGGCATCACCTGAAAGAAAGTTAAAAAATTATCTATTGATAGCGGTAAATCAACTTGTCTCCAATTTCTCACACCAATATAACCTTTTAATGTTAATGTGATAGATAATATTCGCTGTAATGCCAGTTTTCAAAATCACTAATTCACTAATCACTTCTTCATCCACTGGTTCAGTTTCCAAAATTTTCCCCACTACTGCGATTGGCCTTTTTATTAAGTTAGCTTTATGCATTCAACTCTTTGCACAATAGCCTTTTTGTATAGTCATTTCATTTGAAATAATGTCACCAGAAGCACATTAAACAAACTCCTACTGTGTTGATGCGACGGGACAGTTGTGCTGGGTTTCTCATCACTTCAAGATCCATCAGGGTGATGATCGTTGATGAAAGTGGCACACGTTAAAGCAAAAACTAGAAAAAGGCGCAAGGGTTATTCAAATGTCCTTATTATTTTCATCAAGATACTGTCGAATCATGCAGGTCTGGAGGGAGGGGCGGGGGTTATGGGGAGGTAGGATAGAACAAATGTAACAAGGAATTGAGGCTTTTACTGCAATGGTTTTGCAACTCTCTAGTTAAAGTCCGTTGAAATGTATTTAATACAACTGGAGAATAGTCGACGATCATAGTGCCAAACCAAGTTGAATGAAATGTCCACTTAATAGTCACGTTTTCCGTTTAAAGCCAAATGATGATTCAGTACTGTCAATTAATAAGAAAGCCTTTTTCCTGAAATCGACCTTTAACAAACTAATAAGTTTTATGTTGGTTTTGTGACAACTAATACGGGGGTGAGTCAAAGGGTTCTCAGATAAATGTCACAACTTTAAATGGAATAAATATTTACGAGTTTTACCGGTTTCAAACATGGCTTTAGAGTTTCTTTAATATCATACAACTGACCGATCATTCTATTTAAGTTTAGAATCAAGGCAGGTTAAACCACAAAATAACTAACAATTTCCAACTCCCTAAATGGCAACTTTTGAGGTCCAAACAACTTATAAACTTTTTGACAAAATTAAACTAGAAACCTGACCAGATTGCAGGAGCTTTACAGCGGGTTTATGGAGACTCTGTGCTACGATTGGATTGAATTCTTTAAGAAGAGAAGAGTGGAACTCCCGAGGAGGGAAACCCACAGAAAGCGTCTCTCTCTTGCGTAGAACCTAATGCAACGAAAATTGGCAATGAAGTTGGAATCGTACAGGAATGAGAATTTGCAATCCTCACAGAAAATCTTGGCCCGAGGAAGCTCTCAGTGAACATTGTGGGCTCCAAAAGCACTGCAGGAACAACAACTGATCCAAAGATCCATTTTAATTTACCCACAGATTAGTAGGGGGGGGGGGGAGGGGGGTGCCTCTATTTTACTGAATTGCAGAGTTTATTTATGGGCACTTTATTCAATTGATTAATTACAAAGTGAATGAGTTTTCCAAACCAGTTGTCATTGCCTATTAATTTCGAAGGTTTCCTTTGTGGATTCACTGTCTTCGACTCTCGTAGTAAGAAACTGGGCTAGTGGGAAAATTTTAATTGCTGGTGAAATAATAAAACTATGAACAAGCACACGCATTGATTATCCACAGACCCATATCGATCAAACATATTTTTTTGCAATTTCCATGGACTTTGCACACACACACACACACACACACACACACACAAACAAAAAGAAAACTTTATTTCATTAACATTAGTGACGTGAATAGGGCGCTTTTTAAACCACAAAAGGCCTAATCCTCCGTAATCCAATTACGCGCATATCTGAAGTAGGAGATTAACTTAAATATATATCTATGTATCATAATACGTCAACCCATAAAGTATGCTTAAAAGAATTAATTTTAGATTCTGTAAATCACCTTCTACAGAGAGCTACATATTTCACAATTCGCATCATGTGTCTGTAGATGCGTAGTCAACGTTGAGCATAAAGTTATTTCTGTGACGATGGCTGTTACGAGCTTTAGACGCCAGGTAATTGTCAATAACATTTCCTCTAACCGATGTCAGTTGCCTTTTTACAATTGTCCTAAGTTGACTTTTTGAATGGAATGAATGCAGTAAATGCAAATATTAATTTCACTAATAATGCTTTATTTGCCATGAGTGTGATTCCATTGAGTCAATTGCGCCATAAATAATATCCACAAGTAAGATTTTGACCATGAAAGTTAGTTCTTTCTGGTGATTACAAGTAGGAAATTTTGACCCTTTCAGGGGCACTTATAGTGGAAACAACAGTGAATTAGTCTCTGCAAACTCACGAGCGAAAAAGAATCAAATAAAAATAAAAATTTTATTCAATTTTGGCCCCCAGTTGTATCTGATACCATCAGCACAATAGCCTAGCAATGGAAACGTTTAAAAACTGCAATGGCATCGTGCACCAAAGCTGACTCACAGAAGCGCAGTTATTACGTCGTGAATTTACATAACTTGATAAGTACTATCAGGATTTTTATTATAATTATAAAAATAAGTCTAAATCCCCATATTCATAAAAACTTTTCCTGATTTTATAGTCATCGTCCACATAATTGTGAAACCAACTTATTATTATTAATTTATTTCAAACAATTATTTGACACTAAGGAGTATGCCACTAACTTCCCATATCAACACAAGAACCTGAGATGAGTTCAATTGGAATCCGTCGCGATTCGTTCATTTCGAGGTCATAAGTATCCACTATGACTAATATGTGAGTAACATTAGATTTCTCTAACTGATGGGCTAAAGTAGACAACTTTAGTTTGAAAAAGGTCTTTAGATTAATTATGAAAAGGTAGGTATTGAGGAAATAAAGGTTGGCCTTGACCGCTTAATCAACTAAGACGCATGATTGATTAGAGTCCAGATATCTGCGATTTAGCCCAGCTAACCCAATTTTTTTCTGCCAATTCGTTTAAGTCAACTCACCAAAGTTGTTGATAACACTGCAGGTTGTTTTGCTGGGGTCGGATTCAGGATCATCATAGCCTTCAATAGTACTACGATTTCCGTCAGTGGAAGGCTCATCGCAAGTGATTTGTCTCCACTGCAATGGAACAGGGGGATTTGCTGGTCCCGCAGTACACATGAGTGTCAGCAACTCTCCTGCAGTCACAGTGACAATTTTTGGGGGCTCCCCTATAGGATCTTCCTGGGGGATGTTATGGGTCTCTGCCAAACGATCAATACGAATATGCTGAGGACGGAAGGTGAGGTTTACATGGTAAGCGGCACTCATTTGAGATTCTATTACAGGGAATCCGGGGTTTGAGGAAGCACATCTGAGTAAATGGAGAAAAGCGAAAGCTTTAGACTTCCTCTAAATTTTACCCCCTTTTTATTAAACTTGTGAAGGCTTTTTAGTCTTCTATGGGGTCTTAAACGCGCACTATAATTCATGCCCCTAATGTCGTTTTCTTTGCCTTTTGTTTAGAAACGATAATGCGGGTGAACTAAGTTGCACAAGACGTAATTACCAATTCGATACTTTAGAAATTGATGTTGCGGAAGTGATTATTTTTAAAACGCTACACAGGTATGAGAAGTCTTGTTGCTCTGTTCTTAAGAGCGTGAATTAAGAGGCGTAAATTAATTTTCTTGCTAATGAATAAATGACCTCAAGTTCAAGTGGTACATAGGCGCAAATATTAAACGATATTATTCGAATCCGTCTTACTTGAAGGAAGAAAGATGATCATCCCCGGTGAGTTGAATGTCGAGGTTTGAGGATATTCTCTTTCGATGTTTATCGCTCATGGTTGTTGAAATTAGATATATCGGTGTGTATTCTGCATTGTCCCGTGTAGCTATAAATCCAAACGAAGGTTTCATTATGGTTTTATGAATCTTTTAGCCAAAAAAACTTTCATTCATATTGGTATATTGTTCTTACTTGAAGACAGACTGATTTCCCAATATTAACAGTAAAGTCTATAATGGGAGCCGACAGACAATGCACAGTGCAAAAGACTCGCTGTTTTGTCACAGGGTGAACACTACACGAAGTGGACTTGAATTCGCCCTTCATTTCTCCTGATAACTTGATGGTTAATTGAGGTACCTTTCATAGGCTCTCTATTTACGTCCTTCATTCACAAATAATAGGAAGATGGCCTGTAGTCCTATAAACAGTCCCCAATGTCTTAATAAAGTGCTCTGGAGTAATTAAAATATCGATCTATCCCTGTCCAAGTTTTAGTGAACTGTAGTCTTGCGAAATCAGATGGAAAGGTAAGCCATAACAACTGAAAATAGACATCCCTTGATTGAATTCTACTTTACAAAAGTCTACATATGTGTATGGAAGCCGATATATCACCAGTCTTTAAGAGCATCAGTTCAGTACAAGCTTGAAGTCATACTTAATGAATTTCCCACATTTATTTGGATTTTATCTAAGTTTGTTTTTTTGAGTAGAGTTCGGTGAGCAGTTCTCTGGAAAACCAATGGCCTTCACCAGAGGAAGTTATGGAACATACATCACTAATTTCGTATTATGTTATAAATAACTTCCTATTGCGCTCAAACGTAGGGCTATAAGTTGCAAAACGCTAGCGCATTCAAAACGCATTACACGTTATTTCCATTCAGAGAAATGTCGATATACCCATGAACTGATTTAAGCCTACATTGGAATATAATTGTCTCCCCTATACAGCCAACTTCGCAAACCCAATGAAATTTTTGTTACATGTGGAATATACACTTATAAGAGAAAATTGAGTATAATGATCGAGATATTTTATACCTATTCAACACCAAGGTTTTGATAATGCAACAGCATTATCTCAGAGGGAAAAATTCCAAGTTCGTAAATAGGAACCAATAGCTAGCAATTAGTTTGGGTAAAGAGGAGGCCTCATAGAACCCCTGATTGGGATATCCACGTTTTGACAACCTTTAGTTTTTATTTAGAATAGTTTATTAGTTCTTCTTTGAAAGTCTCCCACTGGGGAGTTGAGCAGGAGCTATCGTACTTGGAGAACTTGTACGTTAAACATGACATCCAGGTTAGTTAAGTTTGGCTACAATATTAGCAGTAAGTAAGATGAAAGAGCCACCATCATCATGTCTCTTGAAATTGGCGAATTAGGATGAAATTTTTAGTCATTTTAAATTAAAGGTCAAGTTTGACACTGAGTACAGAACAAGAATGAAAATTTTTATAAATTTGGCCTTCAAGCCAATCTACTCGGAATTCCAATTTAGTTGTATGACTTTTTATTTCATATTTCCTTAGTGCGCGCAATTAAAATATGAATGAGAGCAAATTTCTGCTCCTGAAAACAAGCAAACTTCGCTCCGACTTAATGGAATGGTCTCATAGTATATCTCAGTATTTAAGTAGCCTTCCCACCAATAGTAGTAGAATGTTGAAAGATTATACTTTCATCCATTTTAAATTGTATTGGGATACAAATTTTTGGCGAAGTAAACGTGTTGAAAGCTGAATAAAATTTGCAGAGTTGAATTTCTTTTACACGCTGCCTTTATTCAAAAACATATTCGCTCACCTTTAAGCCATGAGATCTTTCCTTCCGGTTCACCATCAATCGCCTCGCATTTCAATTTCAGAATATCGCCTTCTTCCAGACTTTCTCGTGTAGTTTCTACGCGAATTGTCGGGCGTTGAGGGGCTTCTAAAATGACAAAAACATTCAAAACTCAATCAGATTAATAAGTTGAGTCGTGGTGAAAAGTCATATATTAATTTCAATATGAGGAATTTTGAAAAGGGGTTGTTAAATCAAAAAAGCTTTTTAAATTATTTGACATCTGTTTTCATTCTCATAACCAATTTGGCACGTTTACTGACCGCTTTCCAGTTTGGCACTTTCTGAGTGGAAACCCTCCCCACCACCACCACCACCCCCTTCCCCTTCCCCTCCCCCCCCCCTCTACAACAGCATTCTCAAATTATGGGAAAACTCACAGAAAATTATGAGCTGATGATGTTGGTGAGTCCTCGTCCTCACCCACACACACACTCTCTCTCTAGCTCTATCTCTCTCTCCCCCATTTGATAAATATTCGCACGCAAGCTCATTCACTAATTTCCGTTCAATGCACTTATCCAATATCCCTTGGGTTAAGTAAAACAAAAGCCACTGGTAAGAGGAGGCATGCTCTAGTTGAAGCTACTATGCCTCAAACCAACAGTTTTTCCATACCTGCCGCTCGCTAGTCGGAAGTCGCTTTTCTTCCTCCTTTCTACTTCTTTCATATGATGCCTAATTCTCATTAGTTAAATGGTCTTTTTGGTTTGTTTGCTCTCTCTTTCTCCCTCTCTAGAGTAAAGTCCTATTTGGCTGTTGGCGATCATTTCTATTTTAGTAAGCATATGGAGTTTAGAGCGCAAATAAAATTAAAATTACATCTTAAACAAATTTTTCCAGTTTGATATCGGCAATTAAATTTTAATAAAAAATGAACTTTGCATCAGTAGAATTGCCAATCTAATTTGTTTTTTTTATCATATTGTAATCTTTGTGAGGAAATAGTTAATATATATCGGCACAATTGAAGAGAAAAATGTAATTATCAATACGCTTCTTTCATTGCTATCTTTACAGGCTCAAATTACCTTCACTCTCTTTAACCGAATGAACAATTAGCCTTCATAAGCTTCTAAATTGGTTTCAATAGTGCATTTTCGCAACAAGGTCATGGAACTCATGCCAGTGGTATGCAAAAAACTCGTACATCTTCAATCCTTATGGTAAAGATTGAATATCTTATAAATAAGCTTTCAATACTGACTAAGAAAACTACTTCATCACGTTCATATTTTAACCCTCTCTCCTCCCCTCAGTGTTACTAAAAATCTGAACTATTGGGCTGTGCACACTTCTATTTCCCATATATGCATGTATACATATGAAATGCCAAGTTATGACTGAAAGAATCCAGATGCGACATTATTTTAAGGTACAGCACGGAGAGGATGATTCTACCTCTTTTTACTATCAAGCTTTATATGGGTTGGAAGGGGGTTAAGCGAAGGGTAAAAATATGGGCAAGTTAGACCTCCCCCCCCCCCCCCCAACCCCCAACCCCCAACCCACCCCCATTCCCCCTGTTGGTCTCTTCCCCTCCAACTTGTCAAGGTGCATGGCCTGTGGCTTTCTGCTTATTTGTTTAAAGTAAAGTAGCACTTTTAATCAAACAGCACAAGCGTTAGTGCCTTTTACAAGTTTGGTTGCCTGTAAATTTTAGAGATAATTCCGTCGTCTTCGATTGCAATCAGAAACTACAAAGTAATTCTCTCATTTTCATCTGTCAAAACTGAATTATAACTAATCGAATTCTCCTCATTACAAAACACACACGCACACACACACTTATTGAAGATGCGTTGGCATAAAATACTCACTTAAATGGGGTTAGTTTAGTGCAGTTCAATTTATTTAATTTCAGCTGTAATTATATCCTACCTTAGACTAGCTAACCGCATTTAAAATAAAATGTTTGCCATTAGAGAACCACTAGATTTCAAAAATTTAGAAAACAAACAGAGACGTCCATTTATCGCAATGGAATTATCATTTAGCAGCATGAATAAAATTTAACCGTCACCTCAAATTTCATCAATAACAAACCGTTATCGATTTTACATTACAATGCCAAAAATGGTCTTGAAGTTAAAGACCATCGTAACTAGAATAATTCAAAATTTCCGAAGTGGGGTGTGCGATAGACTGACCTCCACGTTGTGCACCCTGAGCAACGTATACTCATACGACAAAAAAGTCTATTAACCGGCAGTTGACTTCTGACCTCAAACCCTACTGTATGTCATATTCGACAGCTTCCACAGTATCCATCTTACCTTTTCTCTGCCTTTATGTCTGTCTGTCTCTTTTACATCTGTGAATTATTATTCTGCCCCCCCCCCTCTTGATTTTTTGTCACTTTGATGTTCCTCCTCCTCTCTGTGACGTCCGAAGTCAGCTAAAGGCCTAATGATAACTATCAAAACACCTGCCGTTTGAAATAAATGAATAAAATTTCTGGAGTGTAAACTTCAAAGTTTACTATTCTTTGTCTCCAACTCGCATGAGCTGGAATCCTTTTCAGTGCTACCAAGAATACTTTCGGCAAAATTTCATTTTCATATATTTTAGTTAAAATTTGGACAGAGGTAACAGTTCCAGTATGTGCTTTTCTCCAGGTCTGTTATTGTAACAATATACTATTTAATTGTGAATAAAACAATTGAACTGATGAATAGCCATGTGATATTAAAATGTTTATTGTCTCTCTTTTTAATTTTGATGTATGGAAACAAATTAATTCCATATTTTTTCAACGTCATTGCAACCTCGGAATAATCGATCATTGGAAAAGTTTGGTTTCATAAACTTTCCTTAATGAACATATGTTTTAAAGCATCCTTAAACGTGTTCCACCTTTAGGACACCATCAGTTGGTACCATTTAACAACCACGTTCAGGTTTTATTGTTCGAAAAAAATTATCCCTCACAAATTAGCTAATTAGGACCTAGGACATTCAACGTACCATAGGGTTTGAGAATAACTTGATTCATTATATCTGTGTTCATGGAAATATCGGCAATTGCAGATGGGTAGCCCCTGCACTGCAGTGCTCCAAATCTAGCTATATTTGCAGGTGGAAGTCGTAAAGACACCGTTTTAATGTAACTGGCACCATTTGGACCGCCACGTTTCAACTCTGGAATCGACGTGAAGTTGGTTAAATCGTACCACTCGGCACTGCTAATTGAAAGAGCCCCAAACCACTTGATTGTCGCGTGACCGTAGAAAGGAGTGGTGGAACAGGAGAAAATCTGTTTCTTGTCGGGGTGGATATAAAGCGTTCGGGGAAACTGGGAAGAAGAGGAGGAAGTATTTGGACACTCGACAGTGGCTTCTGGACTCCCAGTGCCGGTTGGTAGTCTTAGTCCACTCAACTCGTTTTTGTAGATACATACTCCAGAAAATGTGTCTGGAAAAAAAAATAATCATGGATAAGTTGAGAGCATCTTAAGGCAACGCTTATTATTGTGCATCATTATTACACTTCTTCCGACTTATTTGCTGACATATCCTACCCAACTGATGCCTAGGAAATAAGGATTTTCTTCGTTCTATCTAACCAATTTTCACCTCAAAATTTATGTGCCTGATGACAACATCGAGTTACTTTTAATATGTATTCTATTTCTTATGTTTAAAATGTGGGGTGTGCGATAGACTTACCTCCACGTGGTGCACCCTGGGCAACGTATTCTCATACGGCAAAAAGTCTATTAACTGGCAGTTGATTTCTCACTTCAAACTACCAACACCTCACTCTATGCCATATTCGACTATTCACAGTACTCACCCTACCTTTTTTCTACGTTTGTGTTTGTCTCTTACATCTTTGAAACGCTCTTCTGTTCCCCCCTCTTGACTTCTTTCAATTTGATGTTCCTTCCGCTCTGTGAAGCCTGAAGTTAACTAAAGGACTAATGATAACCATCAAGACGCCTGCCATTTGATATAAATAAATAAATGTCTAAAATCTGCTAAAGATATCGAGCCATCCTCGAAAGAACAGTAGCACAAGCATTCTTCAGACATAATTATTCCCATTTACCAAAAAATATTTCAGATACTTTATTGATGATTGTTGTTTTCATACAATGAAATGTTCCCTCCTTCCCAACGGAAGTAACATAATATATAATGGGCAATTTCCCCTGGGGTCAACATATTAAACATCAAACCCTTATAAATAAACTTTTTAGTGAGTATTTCGATTTCTATAGTCAAATGTACCGAATTTAATGCGCTTTGGACTAAAAATACCATCGTTTTATTTATTTAATGAGATTACAAAAAAACTATGACCGATCACTTATGCTAGCCAATAAGTTTTTGTTTTCACAGTTAAGGACTCGCATATGAATGTAGGACCCCAAAGAGGTATTTAAATTTTTATCATTAAGTCATTACACAATAATCGATGCTACATGAATAAAAGTAGGCAAGTCGAATGAAACTAGAAATCGAATAATGAGAAAGTATTTTTACGCGCTTAATTTGAATCCTACGTCAACTTGAATCGCGTTCCCATGTTCTGCCACTTTCCCATTATTACGAATGGTAAACTTTTAATACTTTGCCAGCGATAACAGGGTGAAATTGCGATTGGAATGAAAAAAAAAATTTAATTGAAATTGAAGAGAAAAAAATGAGAAAACAGGAGAAGTATGTTATCGTACAATAATCTCAACTCATTCAAATTCAGTCTTTTTGTGCGTGTTTCAAGCATGATAAATCAACTGATACACCCCACGTCTATCTGTGTGCATCCACTTCCGCTATCATTTTAATCTTTTTGCTGCAATCTAATTTCCTATTACACTTGGAAAAGAATGGTAGAGGTGGGAATAAGAGGGTGGGGGGGGGGGGGGGGGGGGGGGGGAGGGGAGGGGTGGATATTTGACACTTTTTGTGGGAAATTAAATACTAGGTAAAGTTGAAATTCCAAGATGCTTCAATTACGTAATCGCTTTTCATCATGGGAGGAAAAAATAAAACGGGGAATGATTTTAACACCATATCATTACAATCCACCTAAATTCTACATGGAAATGAGATCCAAGTGACTTTGTATGAAATTTCTTTCAAGCCTGCTCCTTCTTCTCCTTCTAGTCAATTAGAACTTGAGTACAATTATAATGATTAAGTTGGAGGTGCACTGCTCTTTTTATTCTCGAGTCGTTTTGCTTATTTGTTTGAACGCTGGGATGATTATCCTTCAGAGTTTTGCTTGTTACCGGTTTTAGTATTGCCTTTGCGATGATGATGATGATGAGTGGAGAAACGCACCGTTGAGGCATCAGCTGGATTCATCTAACCATTTGTGGCTGAATGATTAATTCTTACCTCATAATCAATAGAGATCATTCCTTTGAAGCAGCAAATGGTCATCTAGAAAGTTAGGGCTATATACACGCAAGGAATACGCAAGGGGGCTCCGTCATCAACGACAACTAAGCGTTCAGGAGAGGATTTAGCTATGATTGAGAAATTTAATTCAAATTAACAAATCTTCATTTAGAGTCGCAAGTTTGAATATGAATGGCCACCCCTCAATATAGTAAGGTCCTTAACTTCGTGAATGTAAATAAAGTGGTTACTTAGTTGTCTATTCCAATAGCGTCTTAGCAAGAAAAAAAGACTCTTGATAAGAATAATTGAAATGAAGAGAAATTCCAACTCAAAACGCAATTATAATCAGCTTAAAATCGTTAATGACTCAAGTCATTCCTAACACTACTTAAAAGCATCGAATTTCGAACCCTAATGTAAGGAATTGAAACTCAAATAGCCCATTAAGTGTATTGATTCGCATTAATAAAAGCTGAACGATTTCAAATTAGCTTATTTTTGCACTTCCACCCTCCTTCGAGAGCTAGTGAAGAGGCATCGATGAGCCTAAATGCGGACTAGTGAAGACAGATCCTGCAATATTTAACTTCGCAGCCTTGCATACTGACCCATTAGCTTATATTACGCTGTTGAGGTAAGCAATGACTAAAAAATTGCGTCGGTAAACTAAGTTTTAAATTTTGTGACCGCATATTTCCCCGCAAAGGGCTTTTTAATTACCAAAGACTTGCCTAAGATTCCAATGGATTTATGGTTACGCATCGTATCTCTGCCCCCCCGATCTCTGATTTTTCCGGGGCAACAGTTGTCATGTCCCATAAAACAGCCTATCATCTGCCTGCCAGTCTCTGTGTCGCCGATAGCATATGTAGGGGCGCCATGCGCGACCGGTGAGGTCATGGTCTCCTCTCTTGGTCTAATGATTTATCTCTCTTCTGGAACCAATCAGATGTGATGAGAAATGGAAATGCAATAAAACTTCAACCTCGCTCCCTCCCCCCCCCCCCCCCCCCCCCCCCCCCCCCTCCCCCTCCCCCACCTCCCCCTCCTTCCTCCATCCAGCTTCGCATAAAACTTGCATTTTTAATTTTAAGTAGAAGTTTTAACTAGAGTTGAGGTCATATGTGTGCGCAGATTGTGAGAGGTAAATGTGTTCCAAAATTTAATCAACTCAACATGATTCAATTAACCTTGTGACCCTACAAATGAACAACATGAATTTGCAAGTTCTCCACGTTAGGCTAATTAAACGCTACTTTGCGTGCACAAATCGGTAGGATAAAGTTGTGAGCATTTTCAAATAAAAATTGAGTCTTTGGTTTCAAATGCCATGGCTAGCGAATGCCAGAAATGCGCAACAATTCAGAACTTCTGAAGTGAATCTGAATTACTACAAACTTTAAGGAAAGATCACATAACTTCGGAAAACTCTGAAAACCGGACTTTCAAGCACAGGCCTCCCTCCTCTCGTAATAGAACTCATGGAATATCAATTTATCAAGGTGTCTTTACTTATATAGGCGTTAGTGCGAGGTATAAGCACTACCTAGTTCCTGACGCAAATATTTATTTACGTTGATTTGGGAATCTAAAGTCATAATACAATGGTTCAATAATATTTACTCATAATTTTCAACTATTCTAATTGTCATCTGGTGAGTTTTAATGGGTGATCACCAGAAGGACAAAGAATGCGAAATCAGTCCAACCCGTAATTTCTAAATTCAATTCTCCTCTAGGGTAAACTGAGGGCTCCACTAGCGCTTTTCCCTATCCTTTCATTTCCTAATCCTTCTTCTTGCTTCTTCCGTTTTCCTTCAGCTCACTACATTTATGCATTCATGGTCTTCTGAGTTTGGGAAGGGTTCCCCTCCTCCATTGAGTCTTAATTTCACGCCAAAATTCTTCCATAACCCCAAATTAATAGGTCAAACGTGACACATATATATATGCGGCGTGCGATAGACTTACCTCCACGTGATGCACCCTGGACAACGTATACTCATACGGCAAAAAAAGTCTACTAAACGGCCATTGACTTCTGACTTCAAACTACAATGACCCCAGTGTATGCTATATCCCCCAACTTCCACAGTGCTCATCTCGCCTCTTTTCTACCTTTGTGTCTGTCTCTTTAACATCCGTGAATCATTCTTCTGTTCCCCACCCCTCGACTTTCTGTTCCTTCCCCCTGTGAAGCCCGAAGTCAGCTAAAGGGCTAATGATAACTATCAAAACGCCTGCCATTTGAAATAAATAAATAATATATATATATATATATATATATATATATATATATATATATAGAAGAAGCCATTAAATAAAGTATTGCTGAAAATATTAAATCATAATTACATGAAGAGAAAAGAGATACACAGATGGTGACATTTCCTTCTCCTCCCTATACCTCTCCCCCGCCCCCCTACCCCCCCCCCCCCCCCCCCCCCCCNCCATACCCCTCCTCCCCCCCCCTCCCCAGTTCACTTTCCTCAACCCCTTCTCTCCCATGTCCCCAGACGAGACATGCGTCGCAAACAGCAGTTAAAATTCCCTGTCTGCGGGTGGCATTTCAGTTTAAGGTTAAATATAAATGCCTTCTGGCAACTTTCAGCTTCCTCTCCTCCTGCCCACCCCTCTCTCTCGGCTCCTCTCTCGGCATTTCACCACCCTAGCTTATACAATGAGGTCACACAGGCGCTTCAAGTTCAGAACATTTAAAATACGAATTTTCCATTCACGTTTACACTTAAGTTTAATATTTCACATTACATTGTGGCAGGATGACCGAATTAAATTGAGGACTTTAATTAATTATTCGGACTATTGTGGTTAGGGTTGCTCTGCGATGTACTGTGCAAGTGTATTGATGCCTTAATGCAGTATAATCCACAGGCCTAACAAATGCTTGGATTTCAAGGACAACATTTTCGAGAGGGTGTCAAAATTTTCATTTAAAACACATTCAAACGAACACTCGCCTTCGGGCATGAAAATGACAGTCAGTTTAAATTTGCCTAACAGAGGAACTGAATGACTTTAGATGCAAGCTCTGAGGTTAGATTCTTTAATCAGGCCTCTATTTTAGAGAAATTAGAACAAAAAATTTGAAAATTCAGCTTCCTCTTCTCTTAAATTTCGTCTTGAATTCACAGTAAATAAGAGTTGAAATTGAAGAAAAAGATTTATTGACATATATGGAGTTTCGACGAATCGAATTTAACCCCCCCCCCCCTCCCCGGTAATGAAGTAATCAAAAGTTTTTGATTTCCATATTGAAATCTAGGATAATTCAGTCGTAGGTGGAAAATAAAATATTTTTATCATCCAAGCAAGAGCAACTACAATGTGTCTGTTTCGAGCGCCCCGTTTTGCTATTTCTGGAAAAGTAGCCTACCCACTGTTAAATTAATGCGCCATCAATCCCAAAAATTTAAGTAAGTGGGCTAGTAATAGATGCTGAACCGATCAAGATAGGTCTCCCAGTTGAGTTGTAAATCTCATTTCTTCTTCCACTGGTTCTGCTCTACCACAAACCTAGTAAACCCAGCTACAAAGCCTAGTACATGCCAATGAGTATATATATATATATATATATTCACAATAGTTATGCATTACTTAGGCAACGCAGGATTCTCACTATCATTAATCCGTGAAAGCTGCTTCAAAAAATAGAGCACAGCAAGTGAGTTAGTGAGAACATAGAAATTGTCGCTTTCAAAATTACCCTACTGAGTAGCTTTTGCCAAAACATTGTCGTTAAAACACGACTCCCTAATCTCGGGTTTGGACATACCAAATGGCCTCCCCCCTCCCCAACCCCCCCCCCCCGCATTTTATCCTTCCGATCTTATCACTTTATAGACGTCATATCCATCTCCTAAAAGACTGACCATTTGGGGATGCGGTTATAAATCGCAGATGTGGGCTAACTTACTGACTTGGCTCAAAGTGCAATTATTTTGCCACGTTTTATCACCACTGGATCTGATGTTAATTAGTAAGAAATGGGCTTGATGCTCCGTCACATGACCTCTTCTCTTACACTTACAACGGCTGATAGAAAACTCACATTTTACTTTGAGCACTATTTTAGCCTTCTGCTCCATTCCGAGTTTGTGTCGCGTGACACAGACAATTGCTAGGCCATTTTGACTTCGTCTAACAGATGGGAGAGATAGGTGGCTCTCCAATTGATGTCGATCCGAAGTGTGACGCGAGTATTGACCCAAATTGGGAAGTTTGCTTAAGTCGGTTGAAGACAAGTGGGGGGAGTCCGGTGGCTGATCCCATCTCCAAATCAATTCACCCGGAGGTGATCCAGGTGGTTTCGATTGGCAGACAAGACTCAAGGTGTCACCCTCGTTGGCTACTATTGAGTCGACGATATTCCCTTCTGAGGAGAGAATAACGGGTGCTCCGGGTGGTGCTACAATCAACAAAAATAGATATTTCCAGAGTGTTATGAATTTCAAGATAGTTAAATGAGTTTAATTAACTTAAAAGAATAGCAAAATTCAGGTTACGATCACAATTCTCAATAGGAGAAAAGATGTCAGAAGAAAAGGCAAAAATTCAAGCCAATAATTCAAGGAAGCTCAGTTGAAACGAGTTAATAAATAATTTCTACAATTTTTAAACAGCCTCGGCTATTTACTCAGTAGCCAATCTTAACTGGCATGGTTGAATACCACGCTCTCGAAGTGAGCACGGCGGACAATGAATGTTGAACGTTGTGTATGGTATGATTTTTCAGCTGAATGTTCCAATGCTGGCGTCAGAACCATTTCCTACCATGGGTTGATGAGTTTACTTCTCAATAAATTAGATATTTCAACTAGAAGTAATGCATTCATTATTCATAGCCTAGAGATGAAGAAATCCGTTTACTGCCCACAAATCTTGTTCTTCACGGTCTGCTTGGCAGCACTTCGAGCAATAAATTTTGCCATTCGCTGTCTACTTTAAGCGATGCATTTACATCTGCATCAGACAAAAATAAACTGTTATCTACTTCCACGTCTCTCCCTCTCTCTGTCTCTGTCTTACACACACACACGGTCCGGTTCAGCTAAAATCATTCCACACCCACCCAGCCACCCAGCCTCCCCCCCCCCTCCCCTCTTAGATAAATAAACGATCCACTAAAGGCGATTTTGCATTCGAGTTCCAAGTCGCAGATAGATGTAGTTTATAACAACATAATAATTCTGACGAAATTTTACAGCTCCTTCTTCCTTAATATTTAATTCGCGAGTCAAAACAACAGGAAGAAAAAATGGACCCTTTATCTGACTATTTCCAGTTGGAGAAATGAATTCAGAATTATGCATCTCTGAAATTGAAGAAGGCATTGTTTTGAAGAGGGGGGGGGGGGAAACAGTCTAGCTCTAGGGTCGCTATAGTACACCGAAATAATTTCATTACAAAAATTTAATTTGTTTTGAATGGACATAATCTTGTGTGATACACGACATAATTGTCTTTGTGTGTGTGTGCGCGTGTGCGCGTGTATGTGTGTGGTAACAAACGGAGTCGCTCACTAAAAAGATTAAAAATAAAGTCCACCTTAGAAAATGGCAGGGGAGGGGGAGCTTTAACGATCCCCGAATTGATATTCAAACCTAAAGAAGGAGAAGTACAAGTTCTCGTTGTCACGGCAACAACTTACTACCGTCCGACCTGAGGAATTTACGTTGCAAATTAATGGATACTGGTGCAAATAAACAATTTTAATGGGAGAGTGCTATTTTTGAGAAAGATGGGAAGAAGGCGAAAAAAATAAATATTTATGTTTTCAAGATAAAATAATGATTAGTTTTTCAAAATGACCTTTTCACGCGGATATTTCTCACTTTTAAGTCGCAACTTGGTAATAGAGATTCTATTGAGGCATGCTGAGGTCTTGATGTTTTACTCAATTCAGTTCTACCAAAGTATTTATTTTCCTAAGAGTGTATGGAATTAATTTGTCGTAGCTACAGCCTGTTACCTCTCATTCCTTACACTAAAAAAGGAAGATTTTCCACCAGGTGGTGGATATGCAGCCCTCCTGAAGTTCAGCTTTATCACTAAGAGCGCCTCCTCTTTCTCTTAGGACTCTTCCTTCAACTTTCTTTAGGTTCGAGGCATCCGCTTCAAGTTCCCCACTACTGTCTTTACAGCAGTCTTCACTTTCGATTCTGGGTTCGATTAAGTGACTATTCCCGAAAAGTTATGAGAATTTATTTAACGAGTTCGTGAGGACTCTAATGCAGCTTTTATTGCGTCTCACATGGTTCAACGGGCTGCCTGATTACGCTGTTACTAGACTACCCACTAGTTTACACGTGTGGGTGATCTTACCCCGTGTGAATTTGGGTTTTATACCACACGCCGCCTCTTTGTGTTTCCTTTTGATCCACAAGTTCCACGTATGACATTCGTAAGGACAAAATCGTGCAAATTTCAAGACATTACCAAAGCGTTATTTACACTTCTACAGAGGGTAGAAATAATCTGAAACACAATTCATATCGCCGGGATACTTGATTTTCAAATCATTGAATAATTCGAAGAATCGAAACTGCTCCAAAAGAAGGCAGGTTTGAAATAGGCTTGGTATGGATGAATCAATTGAACTTTCTGCTGTTAACTGTTGTTAAGCCCCAAGAACAGCAGTCCAACTTTTATATTGATTGAGGTAGTTAGGGGAATTAGCCTCACATTTTGCGAACCGATTAGCAAAAGTATGATCGGTTTGTGGGTCATAATGAAATTCATTACTTCGAAGAACCAGAAGTTCAGAAATTGATTTGAATGAGAAAATACACATCACTTCATTTTTCACCTTCGTCTTCTTAGAAACTCGCTCTCGCAGCATAAGGAGAACCCCATGGTTTTTTGCCTCAGAGAAGCTAATTACTCCCCTTAGTTCTCGGATAATCACACTAACTGTTGAGTCACCAACGAAAATAATGGTGTTCTTCACAATTTAAAACAACAAAGTAGTCAATTTTTTGTTGTTTTCTAATGGAGCGATAGCGGTTTGTCTCCAGAAAATCGAAACTCAAGACACTAATGCACGAGCAACATGATTGGGAAAAGTGGTGAAAAAGGTTGAGCCACTCTCCACTTAAGTTCATTATCTTCAAAGCCTTCTTTTGACTCCAGAAGTACGTCAAATCAATATGAGGAGCAAAGAGAAGTTAGAGAAGGAAGTGAAGGTCATAAACGATTGACCAGTATGGCCATGTGATTGCCTTACCCAATCCATAAGCAAAACATAAAATCGAAATGGTGGTAAGGAATTGAATTCCAAGAGAAAAATTTTCTCCAACTACTTTGGTTGAAGTAGAGGCATTTTAATCCCAATAATCTACTATTATATATTTCTTGAATTACTTGAATATTGACGGTATCGATAAGTCAATCCCAGCGTAAGTTGTATACGCAAATTTAGCAGTCTAATTACCAGAATAGGGTATTAGATAATATTTCAATCTGCGTAGAATTTTGAACAGATGAAATTTATTTAAAATCTGGATTGCTGTCCCTAAATCCTATTAAATTTCAGTTAAATTAAGTGGATATGGTAGATATCCTATTCTATTCATTGAAATTGGCTTCTTCACAATGCAAACAAGTTGAACCAAACAATTAGATACAAATGAAGCGCAACGGTTCGAATTCACGTATTCTCAGTCAAAACTAATGAAGTTGTAAGCCCAGTTCATACAGATAGTCGACTGAACTGATGACTTCTACTCACAAATTGGTATGGTATACTGTGAGTTCTTTGTTGGAGTGCCTCCAGACATTGGACAATGTATGACTATGAAGGAGCCATTCTAAATGTGCCCAGAAAGCCTTTTTCAAGGTACGAACCTATTGAGAAGAGGTCTGAAAAGCAGAAGGATAACCACAATTCTTTCAAAAATAGGCAATTAAAACGGGTTAAAATTTCGGTCCAAACAAATGACCTTTTCAAAACTATAAAATACGATTTCCAAACTCCTCGGTAAAACTAATCTTTATTTCGGCCATTTAAATTAAGCTAATGCACGCTTTCAATTTCAACCTTTCTGGCTTAAATAACGCGCATTTTGTTGACAATAGTTTATCGGTTTATATAATTGGATTAAAGGGTTGGAATTTCGAATATCCACAAACTATAACAACAAGACAAAATCATAAAGGTTAGTACCCACCGCTGTTAAAGCTCTGAACCACCGAAATGACCCATTTCTACGACAAAAAGGTAGGGAAAATCCTCCATCTCTAACCAGTATTCTACAAATCGGAATAGCGTTATGTCTTTTTAGAGTTCAAATTTGTTGATTGTAAGTGGATTTGGTTGGTTCATATTGTTTCACCGAGGAGACCATTAAGAGAGGAAAATGAAATGCAACGACAAAATCATCCATTCGACTCAGTAAGCAACGAGTAGAGCACGAAAAAAATTCGGATGAAAAAACACGACGTAGCATTTCCGGATAGGAAACAATTAACTTTCTAACTTACTAATAAACTAACGCACATCCTGATTTCAAAATATCGAATCAAATCAAGACCTACTTCATACATAATACTCTTTTCCTCCAATTAACTCCATATTGATCGATTCACTATCAGCCAGAAGCATATGCGTTGCCGTGGATTATAATGTAGTGCAAAAAACATGCATTGGAATGTGAATCATAAGCTAGATCATCCAAATAGAACCCTTAGTAAACAATATTTCGCTAGTTATATTTGCCCTATAGTGTGAGGCCGTATACCCCTGACTCAAACGAAGAAGTGCTGAAAATCGTATTAGGTACGAACACCGAAAGGGTTAGAGGGATTCTGAATAGTTGAAGAAATAGACCACTATTTTATGTGAATATACAGCTATGACAAAGCTAATTCATTAATACCCTCTTTCAAAATAAGCTCCATTGGTACTAGACTCCTAACAGAAGGCACTATTACCGTTTGAAACATGTTCAATACGCCTATGTAGCCTTCGCCTGATGCCGCGAAAACTCATCACTTCGGCGGCAACAGTCTGCCTTGAGACACGCGTGAGTGCAGTTGGGTGCATTTTTCAAAAAAAATAATTCGGTTAAGAACGCGATGTCAACTTCTTTTGAGAAGCAATTAGGTGATGAATGCTCTTTAAGCAGCAGGCAAATATTCGTGTTGTTGATATTGGCAAGCAAAGGGTAAGCCAAAGCGAACGTCGTTAAGAGTTGTCTCTCTCTCTCTCTCTCTCTCTCCCAACTTTTAACGGATTTCCTTCAAAATGTAGACTCATAACTCCACCCTCCCCCCCCCCCCCCCCCCCCCTCCTCCCCATCTTTATGAGTGGAAAGTGCACTCTTTTAGCAGTAAAGGCAGAAATCAAAGTCTGTATTTCCTGTATTTAAGTGACGAAGGGTGTTCAACAGCCCTAAGTACTTCTGTATTGATGTAAAGTTTTATTATTTCGAAGATGAGATGTTCAGAATTTAGAAATGAAAGTAAGAAACAAATACTAACGATTTCGAGAATCCTTGACCAATTTTCCGATTGTCATGCAGTCAAAATTCGAATAAGACAATTTCTCAAGTAATTGATTGGCAGAAAGTTGGTGAAATTTAAGAACATATGCATTCATTAGTGTTGCAGACCTATAAATTAGGCAAATGTAACGTACTCTGAACGGTAACAATGATTTCTGCCAAAAGTTTCTGTTGGCCCACATTCGTTGATCGTTGGGTAGCTTTGTTACTAACAAGACAAGTCAGCCGATCTCCGGTTGTTAGATCTGATTTTGGTATTGTCAAGACTGCCTCGCCATCGTTCATAGTTCCAGAGCTGGATGATGAGTAGATATCAACACTTGGCGAGGCAGTAGTTTCGAGGTAATTTGGTCTCACTGAAATACCGTTGTGAAACCATTCGAAGGAGGGTGTTGGTATACCGCCTTTGGATTGACAGATAAGTCGTAGCTTGTCATCCAGAATGGATGGCTCACTGGCAACTCCCTCGCCTAAAGGTCCTGGACGAGATATCACCAGCTGTCCATTCTTGCTTGGCTGGGGTTCACCTGGAGGTGCCATAATTATTGGCTTTGAAGGTACAACTGAAAATGAATACAAAAATATTTAATACCAGCACTTTCTTGTCATTTCATGTAAAATAATCATCATTATTAGCTTTACTGCTTTACCGAATGACATTTCCATGTTAATGTAACCGCAATGAATGGCAAATTGCTGGTGCATGAAGTAGACTTCTCTGAAAGCTAGCAACAGGCCAGTTTATCCATAAAAGTTAAAATTTCAACTATAAGCGTATTTATCAACAACAACAATTTTCTTAAATTTGGAAATGCCAAGCTTAAAAACGACTACTGTCAAACTTTTTTAATATGTCGCGTCCTATTTATTAAAATGTATATTACCTTGTGCTATGGCGATTTCTAAATGCCAGTGGAAGAACGACAACATACTCTTCTAGTACTTGAATAAATTATTTCGAGTTAATTACTGGAATAAATGACAGATTTAGGGCGTGCGCAATGGATAATGACGTTTTATAGGAATCATTACCATGTCATTGAATAGACACAGCCAGTACCCTAATTTCTAGGCGTCTAAGTAAAAACAGGATAGAGAATTTCGCATACAGCAGAAAACGACATATCATAGATTGTCTTGGAGTTCAAGGAAATCTACTAGAATTCACAATTTATCAACAGCGCACAACTAACCGGGGAGGGGGGCGGGGTTAAGATTGACAACGAGAAAGCAAAACATGTTTTTCCACATTACAGATACTCCGGAGGAGTACTTCTCTGCTCAAGAAATGTTTTGAAAAACACTACCTGTTAATGACCTCATGACTTGCTTTAAAAGAGTCATTAACTGAATAATATACCCTTAAAGATATTGATTTATAAGTACTAAATAAGCACGTGAGAACAAGAGTAACAATCAATATGTCCATGTTGACGTAAGGGTAAATATCAGCCATCTTGAAGACGCCTTCAAGTCTACGCAGCCAACTTTAACTTTTATGATTCAGGTTCGAGAGACGTTAAAAGTCACCTTTCCAAGCTGTGTTAATGGTCACTTACTTTTCTACACGTTTCAGCATTCACGAAAGACACAGCTCAATATAAAAAAATTAGTAGGCGTATTTCCCATAGATTTGAATTACTGATTTGTGGATTTGCGTACTTAAAACTGAACGAAGGAAAGGACATTCGCTAAGGAAACCAACGCTAATTTCATGCTGTTAGGCTACACTACGCTTCTCAGATCTTATCTTAAATAATCCTATCATTTTATCCAAATATAGGAAAAGATATAAATTAAAATAAAAACAAAACGAGGATTTTACGAGGCAGAGAGCAGATAAAATCGCTTCAACTGAGCAGAATAAAAATATTCCACTTGTGACTAGTGCTAGAATTCTGGCAAGAACTTACCCAAGACAGACAAATTCGTACTTCTTCGAAGTAGTGGCTGATTAGCAGTAGGCGAGACCTGACATTCAAAAGTTCCAGCATCTTCACGAGAAACACTTGAAATAACGAGATCATGCTCGCCTATATCTGGATCACCATGCATTGAATACTTTGGCCAGTTCCGTAATTCCCGATCGTAGCCTTAAAATGTAGAAAAATGCATTAGTGTTTTGCACTTTACGGCACAGCAATAAAGATATAACTTTTCACGGGGTCAAACAACTGCCCAAGAACTTTTGCTAATATATGCTGCAGACTTTTTGGCATTTAAAACGTTTAACTATTATATGAGTTAAAAGTTCATTTTACTTTTTGTAGATCGAGAGAAAGCATCTAGAGGTGGGAATTTCCTATTAGCGCCGGCCTGGAGACGTCTGGAAAGAAGCTGAGTAATGATTTGCAGTTGAAGACTGGAGATTGAATGGGTTGATAACTCAGGTTAAATAAACGCAAATCACCCCTTCCCCTCTCCTCATTACTCTAGCTCCAATCTCAAAGGTATATTTCACTATCTAATAGAAATATATGGAGCATAATTCGTCGATCTCCCAATATGATATCTAATCCCATTATTTGTCGAAAAAAATCAACTAACCCCCCCCCCTCCCCTCTCCCCATTTGCTGAATAAGCACAATTTAAAAGCGTTAAATTACTCATTTACCACTTAGTTAAAAAAGTGCGGACAAATTTAGTTAAGCTCACTTCAAGCGATTAATTTGATCAGTAGGAGTGTAGTTCAAAATAAATGAAATGAAATTTACAATCAGCCACTGATTACTAAGTAACTAGCTAATATCATCAAATCGCCGTGCTCACAAAGTACAATGCTAAGGTAGCCGATCAATAAAGATCATATCTTTAATTAGGGTTAAATCAAAATACACACACATACGTATATATGTATATTCCCATTGGTTGATCACTCTTCGCCCTCCCCCCTCCTAGACACCAAATGTCCCTTTTGTTAAAGTATAATTTCCCTAATTTGTACTCTACCCATGTCAAATAATGCGATAGACAGAGGTCATATTCTGTATTAAATAAGTTAGCGAAGTAATTTCTCAACACAGATTTCGAATACATAGATACTCAGTAGCTAAGAAAAACTATAATGTAAATTAATATTATATTTTCTTTTTAAAGTAATATCTTCAGAATATGGGGTATGTGATAGACTTACCTCCACGTGGTGCACCCTGGGCAACGTATACTCATACGGCAAAAAGGTCTATTACCTGGCAGTTGACTTCAAACTACCATGACTCCACTGTTTGTCATATTCGACTACTTTCACAGTACTCATCCCACCTTTTTTCCACCTTATCTACCTTCGTCTTTGATACACTCTTCTGTTCCCCTCCCCTCTTGAATTTTTTACACTTTGATGTTCTTTCCCCTCTGTGAAGATTGAAGTCAAAACTTTGATGTTTCTTCCACTCTGTGAAGCCTGAAGTCAACTGGATGTACCTTCCTATCTCTGCTGTGAAGCCCCGAAGTCAGCTCCAGGGCTAATGATAACTTTCAAAACCCCCAAGTCAGCTCCATGTTTCTTCTCCTCTCTGTGAAGCCCCGAAGTCAGCTACAGGTTCTTTCCCCTCTGTGAAGATTGAAGTCAAATAAAGGGCTAATGATAGCCATCAAAACGCCTGCCATTTGATATAATAATAATAATATCTCCAGAATATTTTGGTGCTCGAATTACGTAGTTCATTTCAGTAGTAGATTCGAGAACATTTGTAAACAACCGAAAGTGACATCTTTAAATTCTTACTATTAACCTGCATGACCTATGAAATTTGAGTCCAAGCTATATTGCCAATCGTGCAATCTTAAAATGTTCACATACTTTTATTCTGAGCACTAGGGCACATGTACCCGATCGGTTGATGTTGAAAGTACTAAATTAATGCAAATTATCAGCTACCAAAATTTTAATTTACAAGTTAGAGGCATAATACATTGCAACCATGGTGATCCCACTAAAATAAAATTTCATAATTAAAAGAACCAAGATCAACAGGTTAAAAATGCTAACCATGGAAAAAAATGGAATGCAGACATTTGTGAGAAGTGGGAAGCCCTCCTCAAATATCCAAGCTATCTTTTTGTCTACACTACTTTCGAGAAAAAAAAGAACTGTTTAGCAAGTCACAATTAAATTGGTTCGAATCTGGGCGAATCGTGAGAATATGTCAAATCGAGGCGAACTTTCTCATGGATGATTCCTTCCCTTCTTTCCAAATTTCCCATTTGCCTTAATTGAGTTCGATTTTAAGAACTTGTGAAAGTTCAGCAATTTGCAAGTGTCTTCATGAGTGCGTCTAGGCATTAAATGCTGATTTAAGAGGCAAGGAGCCGCACGCAATAAAATGAGGTTTTGTAAAAGGTTTTTTTTTCCTATTTGATGGGTAATAATTGAATAGGCTTTGGAGTTGAGCATTCATTGAGTTCTTGACATCTTTAAACTATTATTATTATTTCAAATGGCAGGCTTTGTGATATTTATCATTAGCCCTTAAACTTTGACTTCAGCTTCCCCACGAGGGGTATCATTAGCCCTTAAACTTTGACTTCAGCTTCCCCACAAGGGTGGGGGGGGGGTACATTTATAGCAGTTAATTAATAACAGTTCATTAGTTGTCTTCTGGCTTCCTAGTATCTCTGGGTTTCCATCGTTGTCTTTAGGGCTGAACACCAAATCAGGTGGGTCTTCTCCATTTCCTCATGTAGGTTACATAGAGGGCATGTGGGTTGAGTGTATACTCCCAATCTGTAAAGATGTTTTGCCAAGCAATCGTGTCCGGTACGTAGTCTAAACTCAGCAACGGCTTCGATTCTTGGCCAGTCGGGTATGTCGGAGAGTGCCACTGTCCACTGTTTCTCCTTTGTTCAAGCTTTAAGTTCGTTGCACCTTGAGGTCTGGAATTCTCTCCTGATTAAGGTCTTCATACATCTTTAAACTACCACACACTCTCCGCGTGTTTGATTACACACAAGCGATAGAAATTTTCCAGGCATATCTTACGGCTTCTCTTCAATATAAGCATAACTAAACCATTTCTTCTACGAAAACACTTCAAACGGTGAATGAATGAACCCTCTCATAAATATAAACGCTCAGTTTAAATCGAAATCGTCCAGACCTAATAAACTACTACCACTAACGAATAGCTCTACTCCATCAACCACCCAACTTAGTGAATAAAGTGCTGAACATTTGAATTAGGAAGTTAAGTTAAGTAAAGACTACGTTGCAAAACCTGACTCTATTTCAGTAATGTCAATTGACCCCTCATCATTAAAGTCCTTATAAAATTTAGGCATTTTACATTACAATAAATGGGGTGCGCGATAGACATATCTTCACGTGGTGCACCCTGGGCAACGTATTCTCATACGGCAAAAAAGTCTATTAATTGGCAGTTGACTTCGGACTTCAAACTACCATCACCCCACTGTATACCATATTCGACTACTTCCACAGTACGCATCTCACCTTCTATCTACCTTCGTCTTTGAAACACTCTTCTGTCCCCTCCCCCCTCTCTCTGCTTTTTTCACTTTGATGTTCCTTCCTCTCTGTGAAGCCTGAAGTCAACTAAAGGGCTAATGATAACTACCAAAACGCCTGCCATTTGATATGAATGAATAAATACATTACAATAAAGAACTGTAGTTCTGCCCTGTGGCAGGAGATATAAAAATGAGGGAATATTTTCAAGTGCAATAATCTTAACGATAAAAAAGTTTCATAATCGTCCACAAGAATGATTATTTTGCACATTATGTATTGTGAATTCAAGGTTGGGAATCAACACTTCTATACACAGTAAACCATCCAAAAGTTACTCCTTGTTGTTGATTTATTTTGATTCGCCTTTCGTTACAAGATAACCGATGGGATTTTCGATTTTCATGTGATACAAAATAAGGGGAATCCAAATCATAAGGTTAAAATGTCATATCTGTACAA